TGTCTACTAGATTGTTTGCAATAAGAAATTGAGACTATCGTTTACGATTTTTGTTCACTTAAGTGTCACATCACAATCACTACTGATATGTATCCACTTGAATTATTCAAATTAAAAATTGATCTCATTTGAGCATTGAAATCATAAGTGATTGGAGGATGATCTTTTGAAATTTTTATAATTTTCACTGAGTAATTCAAAATTTGAAGAATGATAAACATTACAATAAAAATTGCTTTATATAATTGGACAAGAGAGCATCCATAGATGAAAGGGTTCAAAGGTGAAGTGAAAGTGCATGACTGTGAAATTTAAATCTATGTAGATGGTATCATATTACAAAATAGGCACAAGGATGGGTATTGTTTATTCATCAACGACTTAGTAGTTGGTTTTGTAATTTGTCTTCTTTAAGAAAAGGAAGCACAGTGTTATACAACAGTAGTTTTACTTATTATCATATCGAATTTTAAATTTGTGATGCTGGAATTATGTTTAGAGCAAAGTTGATAGGAAATTCTATTAAAATGACGAGAAATACAATATAAATGAAGGTTTTTAAAAAATATCGGACATACCTAATAAAAGAAGTTTAATGATCCGAAGTGACATTGACTGATCTTTTTTGATTTGCTCATCGATTCGACGGTTCAAATTCTTTTGATCTTCCTGATCGCGCGAGGTGCAATGCCCCATGGCACTAACAATATGTTACAATTCAGTTGTACGATAAGAAACACGGTGAATACAAATAATGCCGTGATTTTGATCAGAGAATTAGAATCATCCTGTGATTATTTAGTAAATGACAGCAGCAGTGATGAAGGATTGAAGGATTTATATAAAAGCGCAGAGGAAAGAGATCAGTTACGCAGTGATAACGTTTCATGTGATTCACTGATTGATCATTAACATCGGACAATATGACTTAGGCTACTGATTTTTTCGTCTCACTAATGAATCAGTAAGGAACGAATGAAAAATTTGTTTCGGTTTTTCAGCAGCGGTGAAGAATGAAAACATACGCAGTTGATAAATCAATTGGAAGAATTGAAGTAGCTGAAGCTAAACAATCACTGATAAGGATGATGGCTGCCGCAATCTTCCATGATAACGGCAACAACAGTGTTGTTATTAATGATGATATAATTGATGAGGAAAAAGGTATGGATAAAAAGGATGACCCTTAGGAGTCCTAGTATATTTCTCTAACTCTAATCCACTGTCGCTGGTCTAGTTGTAGTCGTTTTTTTTTTGATACGACTTGACGCTATTTTGTTAAATATGACTGATGCTGCCGTAAAGATGCTTCGCTGGAAATGAGATAAGAATGCGATTGTGGTAGGGGCAAGTAAAAGCTGCATCACTTGGACTAGAGCCCGGGATGCTTCAAGCATTAATCTGTGTCTGCAACCACTTCAAAGACCTATTAAAGGAATAGGCTAAGAAGAATCCTTCTGGAGGACTCACATAGGAGCAACAAAATATTAGTACCTCCTTCTCTACTTGTTGTCTATCTCTACGCTTATCAGTGAATTGCAGTCCTACATATCTGCCATCGGAAATAGCAGTTTAGCAGTCATCGACGATCTTCCGACAGCTCTATACCTCCCACACATTCACATACTCGCACACACAAACATACACACGCACACATACACACATACATTTCTACCTTAGAGGTATTTAATGTCCACAACTGTCCTCATTCGCAGGTTTCTATGGCTTTTCTAGTTAAACCTTTAGTAAGTCTGAATGCAGCTAACATAGTTACATAGGCCGTTTTTTTGTAGAAGTTATCTGACTACCGCTGCGTATAACTGATGAGAGCTTGAAGTTAGCTGAGACTGACTAATGACCAATTCTTCTGAAGCAGACAGCTAAACAGTAATCACAAACTAATGACGGATGAAATTCTCGTCCTACAGAGAGATTTTTCTTAGTCTATGTCGCACTTTTTCCTCTCTTTTCTCCTCTCATAATTTATATCTCAATCAATAACTTATATCTCAACCAAACTGTCATCATTTGAATAAATAAAAATGATTGTATTTAAATCATTATCTCAATCATATTTCAATCAATTATCATTATTGGAAACAATAAAGAAAAATAATTGTACTTCGATAATTATCTTTTCAAATGAATGAAAATATCCTTGCAATTTTTCATAATTTCAAAAAAAAGATAGGATATCATTTCTTTTTTTTTTAAATGACTGAAAAATGACAATGAACAATATATCATAAAGTTTTCATTTCATTTCCGGAATGTTTACTAAATGATAAAGAAGTAAAACATTCTTACCAGCTTCATTCATTTCAAATTTACTAAAGGTACATTGAAAAAGAAAAATATCTTTGTTTCTATTAAAGAATTTTGTTTTAAACAATGTTTTTTTTTTAGCAAAGAAGGAAGGATATGCATTATATCCATCCAATCATTAATTTTTAACTAATATTAAATAAAATTGTCTAAAAGATTTTGCAAAATTTTTTTCCTATTAAAACAAATATAGGATTGACATTTTAGCTATTATTATGGCTATTTTGAAAGCAAAACTTTAATGTGTGCATGTTCTATTGCAGTAAATGTGATACACAGTTAGTATTATTGAATTCGATAAAATTAGCTATCACTTCATTAAGTACATTCAGAAAATAGCATTGATAGGATTGTTTAAGAGTTGTTCACTTGTATTCTTTTAATAACATCGCATAATTAAATTGTTTGTTTTGCTAAGCATGTTTCACCGAATCGATAATATTACGCGAAGCATTAACTTTAACAGAGGGATATTTAGCATATTTCAAAGTAGTTTTTGATGTTTTTAAATAATTATAACTAATCATTGACGCTTCCTTATTTATTTAGAAAAATGTTTAATGTAAAAAGAATAAGGGAGTTATTCTTTGATGAGAAGCTAAAGATCCATTTTCTGTTGTTTCTGATATCTTGCCATGTGGATATATTTTAAAAATTTTAAATTTTATGCTAACATTTTACTATGAAGTAATGCACGAAAAATAAACAATGATCGAAATAAATATGGTTAATATGGTTAATATATGGTTAAGGATAAGATGTAAACAAATATTTCCGGAAGAAAAGGAGAAATGATATGAAATTTTAGTAGCATGACGAAATTACGCTGGTTCTTGTTTGGTAAATAATGTATGGAAGTACTGGACATTCATGACATACCTGACAAATTATATTTCTTTTATTTTTGAAGATAACATAAAAAAAGTACCAGAAACGACAATTTTTAATTTTCTATATTCCTACTATGATTACTCACAATGATTACTCAATACCTTCTTATTTGTAACGGTCTTTAATGAAACATTCCCCAGATTTTATCTATAAGTTACCTCTCTTTCAGCATTCTTTTCTAACTGTCATATTCTCGTGAAATGATACATTCGCAACAGAATCAAGATATTCCTGGAAATTAATCATCCCTTTTTACTGCAGCTTTAATACGAAGCTTTCTACTTCTACCAAAGAAAATTTCCCATTAAAAGATTAAAAAATAGACGAATTAACATTTTACCACTTAGTTAGTTCATATTCACATACAATTATAATGTGTTAGTTAGAAACGCTGAAAAAACAATCAATAGAGCAATTTCTTTATCAATTACTTGTTACTTAATGTTTTTATGATGATTATGATTTCACGATGAGTTGCCATTATCTAATCTATTTTCTTGCATTAGTTTTAGTTTGCGACAATTGCAAGCTTATAACACACGTTTCATTCATTTTACTGAAAAAAAACACATGATAAAAAGACATATCTATCAATCAATTTTGATAACATATTATTGAAATTTTCAATGAATTCTAGCTTAGAGTATACAAATCAAACAATCCAAGGGAGCAATTCATAAATTGTTTTCGATTCATTGTTACACATCAAAAACCGAATGAGAGAGGATAATTATCTCAGTTGATAATGATACATTTACCGAAATTTAATAATGCTAGTTAGATTTTATAAGATATTATTTCTCTGTGATTGCTGTCAGAAGAAAGCTATGTTGCTAGAAATAAACTACTTTCAATAAAATTGAAAATTTGAATAAGAATTTAAGAAGCCTAAATTCAATTGAAACTTATAATCACCATTTGTTTTAATCACATCTCGAAATCCTCATCGTAGACCCTTTCGATTAAGGAAATATATTGTACGAGTTCACCATATTTGCTTCTTCAGAAGAACAATTTCCACCCTTATCCTCAACTATTACACATTGTGTCATCTTCCAAAAATAAAACAATATACTACTCATTAATTTTCGCAGTTTTGCAAAAATTCGATAATTAGAAATTATGTATTATCTACACTTGCTATATCTAAAGATGACAATCAGTTTATAAACACGCCCTATTTTTCCCATCCGGATTATCAAGCCATTTTCAAAAGAATGCATTCATATTTCATTTATTCACGTGAGGTGCTACGATCCCTAGTAAGTTCTCCTCCTTACCAGGATCATTCCTATTTCTTTGTAACTGCTAAATTAATTCATACTGTTTAATAGGATGGTCACACTGTCAGTGGCTCTAGGCAGGTTATTTAGTGCCTGGGACATGAAACTATCATCGCATCTAACAATCCCTTTCCTCTTCTATTACACATAGCGTTTAATGACCCTCTTTGTTTAAAAAACGATGAAGCGAATTTCCTTACAAATCAAAGCAACCATGAAAAATCTAAAAAACATGAAAATTACCACCCACAGGCAGTAAATTTATATTCAAAAAGTGGGAATACTTCGCTAATCCTCAGAAAACTAACAACATTCTCCAGAAGTGTTAATTTTCTCGCATTTTTATGTCAATGAAAATCAATTTTCAACAGACATGGACATGCAAGAAATTTATATGAAAAATTTGTTGGGCACAGCATGTAATATTTTTATTAATTTGAAATAAAAACATTATCAAAATATAGAAACATGAAATAGTACAGGTAACATTCACAATCCTCATTAGAATCCATATTTTCTTGCCGACGTTCGCTTATTATGCCGATTAACAGACCACTGCTCAGCAAGCTGTTCTTCTCTAGCTACTGCCTGAAACATCATTTCCACTCGTTTACTATTTTGAATGTGTATAATAAATTCAAAATCAAATAAAAGTAGATTAAAAGGATAAAAATACCGTAAGAGCAGTATGAGGAAGGCGAAAGACTTACGATACTGGCAAGATATGTGATCTGATGTTTTCGTCGTGCCAACATGTTAACAGTGTCTTTACTTTTCGGTATGTTAGCAAGATGTGATAAAGTTGCTTCAGCAAGCGATTTGTTATGAAGACTTTTGAGAAGCGTCGCATGCACATTTGGGCCCAAAACCTTAAAAAATCAACTCATACTTTTGATACTGAAAACAATGAATGCAATCACGGAGACCAGTATAAGCTTTCACAATAAGAAATCCGCATATTAAAAATTAAGCGACGATCTAAAAAACAGTTCACCTTATCAACACTAACATCGACCATATTTTCCACGGCCTTAGCAGCGTTGGAAACTGTGCCACCCAAATGTGCAACATCTTGCGAATAAATCATACATAAAGCTTGCTAAAAATAGTTGCAATTTAAGGTTTCGTGATATTGACAGCAGTTGACATTGATATTGACATTAAATACAGCATTCACATGTGCAGAACATAGGCAAGATCTGAAAAACTGATCACAGAAACTTACATTGTCATCAATAGCTCCAGGTAACGTAGTGGAGGTAGATGTGTCATAACACTCAGCGGTAACTTCTGGATGAGAAACGAAAGCAGGTATATTATTTTCAACTTTTACATCATCTGTTAGTTCGGCCTATAACAAAATCCAATATAAATAAAGGCAGTAAAGAATTCTGTTAATTCATATCAGAATCGATTGTACAACCTGAATATTTTTAATTAACACTTTATAAGAGAACTCATAAATCATGCTGCACAACTTAAACAAAAACTGAGAAGTTGGAAAAAACAAATTACTACCACCATAGAACTTCCATATGATTATCAAACTTACCTTTCATATTTCCCAAACTCTTCGGTTAAATACCGATATTGCTTATATTTAAGAGAAGTGTCAGATAAAGGAGATATAATGAAATAAAATTAGAACTTAAGGATGTCCAATTGTCAGTTCATGAGTTTTTGAACCAGTTTTGGTCAATTTTGATCAAAAAGCTTGGTGGTTATGTATTTTTATAACAATACTTGCAACTAATTTTGACTTACGAATTAAAATTAATTGGAAGATCCCTGCTTAGTCAGGAAAAGTCAGTGTCCCTTTATGGCATATGCAATATATTGTTCGCTTATAAACCTTTGCCTCATTATAAATATTGCGAACTACTGCTTCCTTTCATATGATGCAGCTTAATGTGGCACCGAGCAACGAACAATTATAGATATACATGTTTAAACGCATATCTAAATATTCACCACGATCAATATGTACGGAAACAAAAACTTCGAATTAAACCAAACCTGTTCAAGTTTTTTGTTACGTGAAATATTTGAGACAGTTGTAATATTCGATACCACAGGAGGATCATCAACTGCTTTGAGACCAAAGAAGTCTGTTGAATCATGATCTTCATCAGACGCATCGTCAAATTCTTCAGCAAATTTTGTTTCTTTCGAAATCTCTCCGACAGTGGGGATCTATAAAGCAATTGGCATTAGTGACAAACACTATGAGATCAAAAACATGGCCAACAAATGCAGATAAAGCAATTTGTAATACTGAAAATGTATAAAAAACAAAAGATTACTAACTCCAGGCATTTTAGCATTTCCTGTGGAATGTTTACGGTTGGACATGAAAAGATTAGACTTTCTTGCAATTTTTGAAGCATTCTTAGGTTCAGGTAAGACTGCGAGGAGATTAGTAGATGAAGAAGCTGCCATCGAATGACTCGGTTGCTGAAAAATTAAAATAGTAACCGTAATACAGACATGAAAATTAAAGTTGCGTGGTGTTTGCTAATAAGAGGTTCAGCTGCTATAAGATACTAGGATATAAGACATTCCACCGAGGTGATGAAAAAATTATATGTTAAAGGGAAAGAGAGAAGCTGGAAGCATTTTAAGAAGAAACCACGAGATCTGGCCGGTGGATTAAAATAAGCCTGCCAAACAATATTCCCTTGGAAATCACCATTATAATCTAAGTGTCAAAAAAGAAACTCCCAACTTCGTTACAGCTTCCTGAAATATGAAATGCAACTTGCACTTAAGCCAGCTGATTCTTCTACTCAACCCCAACGGTAAGTTAAGCTAGAAATGTTTTTGAACACACTTATCTTACCATATCAGACTCTCTCTGCTTTCCATCACCAACTAAGCCTTTTAATCCACTAAAAGCTTGTATGACGACCATCTTCTTTGCATTGATTCTGTTATCTGCGAGATTCTTACTGAAAGCAAAAAAAGAATTTGTATGGTAAATGCGGTCTTCAAGTAAATCCCTTTTTAAACTGAAATAATTCTAAATGAGGAAACGATGAGAATCAGTAAGCTCACATTACAATACAAATCAGAAAAATACAAATTATCTGAGCCATATCACAAAATAAGGACAACATCAGCGAAGAAATAAGTAGCGGAACAATTTAGAAAAAAGAACCTTGAATGATGGTTTTCCGAATCACTATTTGTATGAAGTGTACGACAGCGTTTGCGTTTTCTTTCAGCTTTCTTTGCTAGTTTCAGCTCCCAATCTTTTCGTTTCACCAAGTCGTCTAACTCTTTCTCCTGTTGTACAGGCCTATCAGGCAAAGGTACTGAGGGCGGCAAATTTGTCAGTATTGATGATCCTTCTAGAAGTATAACAAACTATAGGTAAATAATATCTTAGACAAAATTATGTACTTCATGAAAAAGGATTATTATTTTTTGAAAGGACTCCTCCAATTCTCAAAAGGCAAGCACAAAGAGTACCAGATGGAACCAAAAGTAACAAAAATAAGCTAACAATATAATAAAACAGTGACAAATTAACTCTTACTGAAAAAGTTAAAATGATGTCATAGACAATAAACCCACCAGCATTTGTAATACCGTCATATTCCTCGACTACACCACCATCTTCCTGCCTGAATCCATCTGTCGTCCTATCGTCTTTGCTTGCGGATGTCAGACGTTTCTTACAATTTGAAACTACTTCCGCATAAATACATTCCTCATTTTGTGATTCATCAATGTCATCGTCATCGCTTTCAGCATAATCAACTAAACTTGACATCTACCTATAACTTATTCAACCTTCACTATCTGTTTTCAGTACCGAAACAAATACATTCCTGCACTTTATTCAACACAGAAACGTTTCCCCTCACTTTTCTGGAAATCCAAAAGTGTAGATATTCACAGACATAACGAATAATTTCTACACATCGTTAACCGTCCGTACAACATACCCCGTTAACTCATTAATTTATATCCCTGACATTTAAACAAATTTCGATCCCTCAAAACACGGCCGCACATATGCGTTATATACGCCGAGAATGACGTCTTCTCGTATTATTCGAACTGCATGGGCCATTATGAAATCATAGTCCCATTGTTGATTGATCTTACAGATGAAACTATCGTTCAGAAGAAGTAAGGAAGTTTTAGGTCTTTGGAATGTAGTAGAAAGAAGGGAGAAGTAGATAGGAAAAAGCGGGCGGCCATTTGGAATAGCAAATTTGCGAAAAGATAGTAGACAGAGAAGATGTATCGATAAAGCGAAACGTCTGTAATATACAATAGGTCTATGCCCGAAATCTTACTGTATTGCTGGACATAGAAAGTGGAGATAACTCATGCAGAAAACGAAAGACATGGAATGATATGTCCGTGCTATTAAGCAAAATGATAAAATATGGTGACTGCTGATATGATAGATATGATTTTCAACTTTTTACACATTTTCAACATTACTAATCATATTGGTGGAATATGAATTGTTTAAGGCTAATTCTGCTAATTCTGGTAAGACTGATCGATATCAGAATTTGCAATACATCAATGTTGCATGAATAAAATTTTCTCGTCGAAACTAATAAATCAACTGCATAGTTTCAATGATACATTTTTTGCAAGCAAAGAAAGGCGAAAACTTTATTTTAGTAGCGTTGATTATAGATATGAAACTTACGATTAAATGTCATTCCCTTAATCATAAGATATGTATCATTGAAGCATATTTATTTCATTGATTTTTTTTCTTTGTAAGAAATTGAAATAAGTCTATAGTGTTTTTTTTTAATGCAATAGCAAATTAAAGTCTGTTGCAAATAAAAGAACAAATTTTGTTTCCACACTTCAACCTATTGGTCATGTATCGGGGAAGTAATCTTTAAATGGCCAAATATTGGAGAAATTTATTAAACCAATATATAACTCCACTGCTATTTACACATAATGTGAAAAAAAAATATGTAATTTGCAACTTTTCTGATATAAGGCAAAATAATGAACAGTCTTAAAATGACCAAATATCGAAGGATCGGATATGACTCAACAAATTTATATTTTCTCTATCAAACTTCACGTTATGATTAAATGTCAATGCTGAATAAAGAAGCTTGATGAAATATTAACTGTTATTAGAGAAACGTTTTTCACAAAATCCCACTTGAGAACTTCAATGTGATACGAAGCTGGCAGATTTATGATGGAACATTGGTTTTTATAGAAGTTTTTCTTGTCGATGAAAGTAAAATGTTGCGAACCACCAGCAGTTGTATAATTATAAATTCAACATAAATGCTTGCTGGGGCGTATCCAAGCTTGTTTCGGAAATCGACAGATTACATTCAGTGTAATTATGCTATCATCAAGTATTGGACAGGTATGGTTTCTCTTATCCTGAGCAGTACAGTAAGTAAAGTAGTATGTATTAAAACTTGTCGGTTCTTCTATGTTCACATATTCATAAAGTATCTTTTCTTTTAGCTGTAAATTATGATAATGTTTGTTGAATTTTTGATCGAATCCGAAAATTTATCAAATCCCAAAATTCTAAACTTTCATCTTTTTAATGAAATAAAATTTGTTCATATCTTTTAGAATTTGTGAGCAATTTATCGGTGGAAAAATATTCAAATATTATTGCTAGCGTTTTCCTATTCTTTCTTCATTTTCTTGAAAAAAACAATTAATAAAAATAGAAATTTTGTTTGTTTGACAATACTTTGTATTCTGATACTACTTAAAAAAGCACATTCATTTCTATCATCCATTGCTTTTCTTAAGAATTTTTTTGTATGTCTTAGCTTATTTTCTTTAATATTCGAAAATTACGCTCACCGTATCTCTCTCTTTACCAGCAGCATAGTTTTGCAACAAAATATAATTGGTTTTCAGAAATCCTAACATACGAAGAAGTTACACTATATTTATCAAAAACGGGACGAAAAAGGCCGCTTGTTCTTTGTGGCCCAGAGGGAGTTGGTTGTTTGGAGTTGAGACAACGTTTGGCTGAAT